CTCATACAAAGCATTCCTGAAAGTCCAAATATATAAAATATCAAGAAGGAAAATATTAAATCAGAGATTGACATGTTCATTGAGTGGGAAGTGTTAATTCCTAGATAACTAAAAAATAAAATCTCAAATAATGCCTTTCCTTTTTAAGAATCATTTTTTCATATTCTCTAATTTTATTCTTTTCCATCACAACTGAGCATAGTTAGTTGTTCTGTGTACATACAGTGATATTAAAGTTTTTCTGCCTTTGGCTCCCTGTAATCATTTTTGTTTTGACTCAGTTGTGTTAAATTATAGGTTAATACTGCTGCTTTTTAAAAATGAGAATTGGCGTTTCTATTTTCCCCATTTCTACTCATTTTTAAATAAAATAAGGGAAATAGAGTAAAATAGTTATGCAATTTATAAACATTGTTGAAAAAGATGGCAATGATGTGGTAGCAGGTGGTATGATTGGCTAGCAGGTATATCACAATCTTATAGATGTCTTTCTTTAGAAAATGTAAAAATGTTCAAACAGTGAAAGATTAGGAATATTAATGTATAACATGAGAAAGTACAGATTAATTGAAAGCAGAATACTTGTGAATGCTTGAACTAAGTAATAGATTGTACATGTAAGCAAACATGTTTAATTTTATGTAGCATTAAATATTACATGTATTCTATATTTTATGTCCTAAATATATACATGTGCCCATAAGCATAATAATTTACCTCATCACTCATTTGAGCTGTGAGAGAGTAGGATATTATGTTATGGCCGAGTTCAGTAATGTTTTAGAATTGGAAACCAGAAATGGAATGTTGAAATTAAAGGCTTCCAGGTCCTTCACAGCTTCCAGGGGTGCTTGAAGGGTGAAGAGCTTACTGTTTCCCGTGTTCAGTCTTTGAGTGTTTGTACTTTACCCCTGTTTTAGTCCATCTGGACTGCTATAACAAAATACCAAAGACCGAGTGGCTTAAACAACAAACATTTATTTCTTATTGGGAAGTCCAAGATCAAGGTGATGGCAGATTTAGTGTCTGGTAAGGACCCACTTGCTAGCGAATAGACAGACTGTGTCTATGCCTTGCTGTGTCCTCACATGGCAGAAGGGGAGAGGGAGCTCTTGGGTCTCTTTTATAAGAGCACTCATCTCATTCATGGGGGCTTCACTCTCGTGACCTAATCATGTCCCTAAAACTCGACCTCCAGATATCATCACGGTGGGGATTAGGTTTCAACATACTAATTTTGGAGGGATACATCCAGTCCACTGCAAACACTATGAGATGAAAAGAATGGCCACATAATAAAAAGCAAGTATTAACAATTTCAACAATAGGCATAAATACTTTGGTCGTTAGTTACATTTTTATTACTGCTGAAATATTACAAGCCCTTACTATTAGTAAGCAGCTACTTCAGGTAGCAGTCAAGACATTTAGAGCTTTTTATATTCTTTCCCTCTGGACTGTGAGTAGCTTGAGGCTAAGAGTCCTGACTTTATTTGTGGTACACATCACAGTACCTGGTGCTGTAGATTTTTGGGGAGTGTTAATGGAAGGAAGGAAGTATGGAAACTTATTCTTGTAACCAGTTGTATTTATATTATTTGTGAGGTTATTTAGTAGCATGTGTGGGTTATAATCATCGAGGGTTCTTTGTGGCGAATGACTTTGCAACACTTGAAACTCTAGGCATCCCACCTTTAGTGCAGCGCATTCACCAACTCCCTTTAAATTTTTCTTTTGGCTGAAACTTAGGTTAAAACCATTGTTCTCAGGGTATAGGTGCTCTGAGTAGTGAATCCACATTGCCCTTCCTTCTCCATCTGCTGCATAACCTGTGGCTGGAATGTGGTGTATGTGAGGGGGTTACTGAGGTTGGCTGGGCACCAAGTGTTCAACATTGCTCCATGGGCCCCCTTCCCTTGCCATACTACTTCTGCTCAATCCTTAAGGGTCAAAATTTGCCCCTTTCCTAGATGACATAGCTTCCTGTGAAATGGTAAGAGAAAAATTAGTGGCAGGAACCAGTAGGGGAGAAGCAGATAGGCTATAGCAGATCACATCAGTTCTCTTGAAGTTATGGTAAACAGCTGTGAATCTCAGCATATCTTGACCTTTCCTTGGAAAAGGCTGACAGAGGGTCCATTGAGTGGCTGCTGAGTCTCCCAAGACCTGATAATTCTAATTTGTTTTAGTCGGGTGGATCAGATTTTGTCTGGGAGCCTTAAAGCCATGAGTTCCCAGTTGCAAACAGTGTTTTAGGGAGCAAGGGGAGGGGTGGATGAAGCAGTGATAGGAATCGAATCATATTATATTGAATAATAGACTATTTGAAATATTTCTTGGACTCCCCTTATATTCTGTTGGTCTGTAATTATGTATTATGATTCTTTTCTCATTAACTAATCAAAATAGCTAATTTTATTGTGTATTTACTGTGTGTCAGGCACACTGTGCTAAATTCTTTTTATTCTATCACAGTAACCTACAGTCCATGTTTTATCATCATCAGTTGAACTCCATAGTGGTATTTCTCTCACAAAACTATGGATAACTAATATAGATAACTAATTTTTATTCAACAGCTATTTGTACATGCAATGAATATTGTATGGAAAAAGTTAGGGGAGTCCCAATCTATGAGTTTGGAACAGGGTGTTGTCAGAGTTTGAACTAATTATGCTTATGTCTTGACAGGGATACAACTCTTAAGCTTTTAATTGAGGAAATCTTATAAAGTTGAGTTGGGGGTTGTGGAGGGGCCTAAGGGAGGACCAAGGGAGACCTTTGAGCCTGCTCTCCTATACCTCTTTTCAAAATCTTCTGAAGAAAGGAAGCCAGGATTCCTTTCCTTGGCAGCATGGCCAAGTTGTACCTTTTCTCATCTCATTTCTGAGTGCCCTAAGAAAACAACAAAACATGCACACGCTTCTTGTGTAACTGCTGTGTAAACTTGAGACCCTAGCTCGCATTTAACACTGAACTTCGCCTACCTGGACAGAATAGCTAAATCATACTTTTCAGTGATTTAATTGTCAAACAGGGAAAACAGTTGTTCTTTCGGTGAAGTAATGAATGATAAAGTTTTGTTTTAAATGTACAAGAAATTATCAAAATTCATTGAGACTCTTACAAAATTTTTGTGTGTTTTTCCTCCAATTTTACTGAAATGACAGCACTGTATGAGTTGAAGGGGTATAGCATGATTTGACTAACATGTATTGTAATTGTAATTGAAATGATTACAAAAGATTTTTGTGTTTCTTAAAATATATACCTGAAATAAAAAACTACAGGCATTTTTTGTCTCTCTCCATAAATAATAATGATAATTACAGATATTTGGCATATATATGTGTGTATATATAGATATACTTTTTTTTAGTTTACATTTTCTAGAAATGCTATATTAAAGCTAAACTATAGTTATTTTTAGTTGGAATGTGGTATATATTGCCTCTTGGATTATAGAAATCACCTAAAATATGACATGAAAAGGGTAGTGACAAATGTCTACAAACACATTAAAGATTAAAACCGTGGCTGAGTCCATTGAAAGGAAGTGATTTTATGAATTAGTAATGAAAGTGCATTTACAGGTTATTGTCTTACTAGGGTCTGAGTTTTAATAGAAGTCTGAATAGCCCACAATTGACTATTCATTCTGTTTATGGATTGTTTCTTAATAGAAACACTTAATAGTATTATCTATCCTAAATTACTTCAACAGAGTTATAAAAATGAAATAAGATAAGGTAAGTACATATGTTTTGTATACATGAAAAGTGCTCTCTCTCAGTGTATGTAATATAAAATTATAAAATTATGTATTAAGTTTATTGAGTGGCAGTTTTAGGAGTTGTTTGAAACTTCATTTAGATCCCATGAATACAATTTGTGACAATTTCAAAGTATATTGGGCTGAAAAAGTTAAATGTGTGTTATAAACATAAGATTATGTAAGTGAAACAGGAGGCCAAGTATTTTAGAAGCAGATGTCATATAACCAGTGAGTGTATTAATGTCATTTTTGTGTATCATTTAATCAGGTACAAAGTCCTTTGCTAGTTATATGCTAGTAACATTTTGTTCATTTACTTCTTTTTACTCTGTGTGCCTGAAAACAAACTGCATATCTTAAGACTATTCTAAAATTTAAATATTTTATTAATTTTCTGGCCCTTTCTGCAATTTGCTGGAAGGAAGGATGTTTTCTTATAATCAGAATTGATAATACTAGTTTTTAAACTAATCCAATTAAAGAACACAAAGGACAATAATCTTATTTTGTTTCTGAGTGAAGCACACGTTTTAGATAACAACTTTTAAATATTATGTCTGAAACACCACATTAAATGTAGCCATGTTATATTACTCATTATGAAAATTATCTTAACCATCACACATTGATTTTTCCCTTTAATTATATAAAAGGGGAAAATTTGAAATAAGTGGAATTTGAGTGTCTCTCATTTATCTTGCACCATACCAGATACTTTGGTGAGATATAGAAAAATCTCCAAACACCTGTCTTCAAGGAGTTTATGTTGTTAAAGATAGGATAAAAAATATTTTTAAAATCATTCAAAAAAAGCAATTTGTAAATAAATGCCAAAGAATGTGGTAGAATTAATAAATGTTCTAGAAGTGAAAGAGTGAAAGTTTTAAATATAATTTCCTTGAAGAAGGATGCTCACATTTTATGATGTTGGAAGAAATCAGAATTGATTTCAAACTGCTTACTAGGTTTTTGAACCAAGACAATCTCCATCTTAGGTCTGCTGACCAGTTGTTGTAATAAAGAATCACCATCAGCCTTCTTGGAGCATAGTGTGTAAGTAAAACACGCATTATCTTTTCTTTATTTCCAGGCATACTTCCGACAGGGTGTTGCCCTCCAGTACCTCGGACGTCATGCCGACGCCCTGGCAGCTTTTGCCTCTGGACTGGCTCAGGACCCCAAGAGTCTGCAACTTCTGGTGGGGATGGTAGAAGCTGCCATGAAATCTCCCATGAGAGGTAAATATGACGAAAGTGTTTGGTCTGACAGTAATTTAAAGTAGGACATTTCTAGCCTTTGAAGACTTTGGACTCAGCCACTGAAAACTGATAGGTTATCAAATTTGCCAAGACTGGATATTTTACACAAAGGAAGATGAAGAATCACTGCCAGTAGCTCATGTTAATGAGATGGAATGGGATGGTGGTAAGGCCACTGGCCCAGAAGCTTATCGACTTGGATTATATATTTTTTTGATTTTTCATAAACTGTATGACTGTGTGTGAATGAATTAACTTCTCTGGATTTCAGGGTTATCTAAAGAATACTTTTTTTAAAAATAGTTTTAAGATTCTGTACCTCTAAATCACAACACCTCTAGAAGTAAACTGATTTACTCAGACCAATATGCCATCTAGAAATAATCTAGATCTAGATCTAGAAATAATCAAATAAGAGAAGATATTAGATATTCTAATATTCTAATATTTCCTAAAAGGAAGTATGGATCTAACTGTAGGCTGTGTCTAACATTTTTCAGAGGAACATGAAAAGATTATGTTGAATTAAAAGGAAAGAGAAAAGACAGACGCTAGTTTATATGGTTTTCTCCTGTTGTTACTTCTGTTTTATACAACTGGTATTCTGGAAGAACAATGGGTTGAAAATAGTACTGGAGGTTGGAAGGAGTTCTAAGGCCCAAAACCGATTGGCTTCACTTTGAAGAACATTGATTTTTGCGGCAGTCCTCAGACAGATTGGGCTGAAAGGATACACCAGGTACCATCTTTGCAGCATTTACTGCAAAGACACTCAGGCAGGTTGACGTCAAATAGTAGACAGCTAAAAATGTTCCATATTAATTAGATTCTGTCAAGCAGAACTCTGTTTTATCTCTGAAAAGGTATGTTTTTGAATGAACCTAAAAATTTTGATGGCAGTATCATTAGACATCGTATCTAGTTTTGAAAATATTTGTGGCATTATATAGTTTTAATATATCGGCTTGTACAGTACTTGGCTCAAAATAAATGCTAAGTAAAAGTTTGGTGAACTAAATGGGACTCATATAGTCTCTGGATGATTCATAGCTATAAAAAATGTTTTCCTGGAAGTGGAAGGTTGCATGTTTTAGAAAAAAAGTGATAAGGAAATCTCTCCTCATGTGATTTTATAACCCCATACAAAGCTGAGTCTTTGCCTGTAGGAACCTAATGGCTTCTCCCACTGGGGGACCTGCTGTTAATAAACTCTGACTTAGAGCAGATGCGCTTTGGAGCTCCAGGGCTTGCGGGGGGAAGTGGACAACAACAAAAAAAAATCAATCTGTCTCTCCTTGCCATTTTCTGGCATTTTCTCATTCTCTCCCTACACCCTCCTGCAAGCAATTTACATGGAACATTTTTTTTATTTAGTTCATGAAGATATCACTTCTTTATTCTGAGGTGTTTCTGCTGCTGCCTTAGAATCCTGGAGTGAATGTGTTGAGATCAGCAGAATCGTACTTACCATTTTGCCTTTGAAGCAGTTTGTTTAGATAAATGTAAGGACGTCTTTCTTGCACTGCGAGAATCGCTCAGTGCTCCCGTCCCCCTTAGGGTTTTTTGTGCCATGTTCTTTCCCATCTTACACTGAGTGACCTAAGGCTGACCCTGGGGAAAGCTGCATCTTACAGGTGCCTGGAGCGCTTCAATATTTTCTCCTCTTTCCTTAAGGCAATTTGATTTATCTCATTTATTTTTAGCATTGCCTTTACCGCCGTGTCTATTCCAGGTGGGTTTCTCTTATCAACATTTTATAGAGGCTGTTGCTTTGCACAGTGTTGTTCTGGGCATCATCTGACATCTTAATGACCTCTCTTTTTGTCATATGGTTGTAATTCACAAAACCTGTCATCATTTGCTGCCCATTTTTTACCCACTGTTTATTGTAGCCTATCTAGCTCTCAAGTTCGTGCTGTTGCGTTGCTGTGCAGTTTGAGTCACTTTACACACTTTACATAGAGGTCTGATCTCTTGTTGTAGTAATTGTTTTTGTTTTGTAATCCTTAAATGCAACAGAGGAAGCTCCCTAGTCCAGGTACTTCTGTAAGGAAACAAAGCTCCAGTGATATGCACAAGCATGCCTGTGGTTTAGCCTTTTGGGGAAGTTTCAAGATTTCATTTTTTTTTTAAAGGTAGGGCCGATCCACATCAATATGTCCCTGTTCCCAAAAAAATATGTTATATTTATCCATATTGAAACCTACCTGATTTTTTTAATATTGTTGCTTATACTGCTAACTGAATTAAGTCTGTTTTACTTTAGTGAATCATTACTTTATGGTTTCACTCATGTTCACCAACCAAGATAGCAGTGAAACTACTTCTCCTGTAGATATATTTACATCCTTATATATACTGTATTTCCTTAAATCGCTAATGAAAGTATAAAAATAAGTACAAATATAAAACGAGACGCTTTTTCCTGACCTCTCAAGTTACCCTTTTCCTGTTTTCCATTTCTCCTTTTCAGGTAGCCTTTCAGCAGTTTCAGTTCATTGTATCTTATAAATGTTTATGCAGATTTGCATGGTAGAGCATAGTACCACTGCCAACCAAATTCAATAATATAATTATGAAGTAAGATTGAGTTTACCTCTATTTGTTCCTCTGAAGATGCCAGGGCTGCTTCTTGCTGAGGGTTCTCTTGTGTATATTTTCTCTCCTCCCATTAATTTGGTAATCTAAAGACTATTACATTTATGGGCTATCACCTGTCGTGGTGTTTCTACTAGGTCCAGAGGATCCAGGGAAGCTAATTTTATGGAGTGCTGGTGGAAAATGGCTGTGAAATGTATAAGCTTTTCTCTCAGGGTCAAGTTGGGGCTCACCTTTTATTTGCCTAATTGCCACCCACCCTTGGAGAATTCTTTCCCTTTGATTTTCTTTTAGGTGGCAGTCACTTCACAGGAGGCATGTTTCTGAAATGGTCTGTTAGAAAAAGATTGGAATCTAATCCCAGGGCTGCCATTTGCTCTTGCATCGACTGAGCAAGGTTGCTTCCTTTCTCTACACCTCAGTCCTTACCTGTAAGAGGGAAATGACAGTATATACCTCCTAGTATTGTTTTGAGAATCTGCCACTAGAAGGTATAAGCTGGCCCTTGCCGGCCACCTTCCCCGCTTCGGTGTGTTGCACTTTTCACTGAGGAGCACGTAGCAGCCGTATTAGTCCTGCTCTTGGATTTCTGAAAGGACAGTGGCCTGGGTGTGGAATGAACACCGCACTCCCCGCATGGTCCTCTTGTCTCAGGCCCCAGTGCCAGGAAAAGCTGCATTTCTTCTGAGTGTTGCTGTATTTTTATTTAAATGGTCTGGGAATTTTAGAAAGGATCTTTATCCTTTTGCTTCGTCCTCTGTGAAGTGTAGGGCCTGAAAATGTCCTGGCCACCTTTAGGAAATAGGCCAGGGCTTACAGTCTGCCTGTCTGTATACTGACGGGTTTTTTTTTTTTGTTTTTTTTTTTGTCTTTCCCTTACTTTCTACTCACTCTGACTTCTGTATTTTCTACCTTTATTTCTATGGAAGGCCTTTGAGTCCTTTTGGAACGATATACAGACAGACCTGGGAAAATGTGAAATGGCTCAAAGTGCTAAACATATCAGTTGTTTTTCTTTTATTTTTTCTAAAGATTTTATTTATTTGACAGAGAGAAAGTGCGTGCATGTGCAAGTGCACGCACACGTGCACACGCGCGCACGCGCGTGGGGGGGGGAACAGCAGAGAGGGAGGGAGAAGCAGGCTCCCCGCTGAGCAGGGAGCTCTATGCCAGACTGGATCCCAGGACCCTGAGATCCTGACCCAAGCCTCAGGCAGAGGCTTAACTGACTGAGACACACATGCGCCCCATCTTTTCTTTTCTTTTTTTTTTTTTTGAGAAGGGTTAAGTTTTACTTTTTCTATAACCCAAAGTTTTCTAATTGTGGTAAAATATGTGTAACATAAAATTGACCATTTTAACCATTTTTAATTATACAATTCAGTGACATATGTCCATCTACAGTGTTGTGCAACCATCACCACCATCCATCTCCAGAACTTTCTCATTTTCCCAAATTGATACTCTGTCCCCATTAAATAATAATTCACCACTCCTCCTCCCCCTGGCTCATGGCGACTACCATGCTATTTTCTGTCTCTGTGAATATAACTTCTCTAGGTACCTCATATAAGTGGAATCATACAATAGTTGTCCTTTTGTGATAAGCCAAGTGGTATTTAATTTAATTGCCTCTTTAAGGAATTACCCTAAGAAAAGGGACGCCTTGGTGGCTCAATCAGTTAAGCGTCTGCCTTTGGCTCAGGGATCCAGTGCCCTCATGGGGCTCCTTGCTTGTCAGGAAGCCTGCTTCTCCCTCTGCCTGCCACTCCCCCTGCTTGTGCTCTCTCTCTCTGACAAATAAATAAATAAAATCTTTTAAAAAATTTTTAAAAAAAGGTGAACATTAAAATCAAGAATGTAATGAACCTCATCTCTAAATTTTGCTTTTGGGGAGTACTTTACCCTCATAATGCTTTGCTTATTTTCTTACCTTTCATTAATTGCTATTCTCTCTTTGGATCACTATTTTGGAGATTTATTTCATAATTGTTTCTGTCAGACTCCTGCATTTGCAGTACAATACTATATTTTTGTGATGTATCCAAGAATAATTGGTAGTGGTATCACCAGGTTTTTAGGAAAATTGAAGCTTTTTAAATCATGTGTGTATGGAAGTGTTACAAGGGTACTGGAAGGCTTCAGGTTTTCATAGTGCCATAGACAAATTGAGATCTGTGAAAATGTTAATTACCTTGAAGGTGATCCATAGGGGACCACGAGTAGAGTATCATTCCTTTGGAATAAGGCATTGTGTCTGTTAAATGCATTTATTCCTCAAATTCTATAAATTTTTTTGTTCTATGTCTGAAATTTATCCTTTGTTCTCCATTTGTTTTGTCACTGAAAATTCAGGGCTTTGCTTCTAACTGGTTCTCCTGGCTTTTATCTCTCCTAAACCTGTCCATGCTTTGCTTTCCTCCCAGAATGAGCTTTCTAAACTGTAAGTCTGATTGGTCATTCTCTTATTCATAATTCTATTTCCCCCATTGCTTACAGGATAGAGGCCAGCCTCCTAGTATAAGAGATCTTTCCTCCCTTTCATTCTCATCTCCAAGATACCACCAGCTAAACAACCTGCAGTTCCTGGAAAATGCTGGTTTCTTATATCTTCAATTTCTCTTTAGATGTCACTTCCTCTGGAAAGCATTCCCAGACCTATGTGGGTAGAGTTAGCACTTTGCTCCTTTGGGGGCCCATAGCACATCCTACCAATGCTAAGAATTCTGGACTGAGAGTTGTATCATTTATATAATGCTAAAAATATGCTGATGTTTAAATGATGACACAATTCTTTCTTGTCATTTAACTTTTTATTTTATATAAACTGAAAGAGCTCTGTTGGACCCATTTAGACATAGAAGTGACAGATCACTGAGGCACCATTGTGTTCAGAGATATTAAATCCCAAATCCACGGATGTTATTATGTGAATAAATGTGTATCTCAGAACTGATGAAATATAGTATATCTCTTAGCTGAGTGAGATTGTTTATTGATAGCCTCTACTATGTTCCTACAGGCTCTTCAAATGTCAGAAAATGTGACTTCGTTCATCTTAAATTCTTAAAGCTTATACATTTTGAAAGCACATAAGTGGTATTCAGTGAATGTTGCAGAGGCCCTCTACATTTTTACGGAGTTGGTTTATCATTGGCTATTTCATATATCATGCATAGTTTCTAGAAGGAAAAACATCTTAACAGCTATAGGCTGCAGATCTGTTTCACCTAGCCTGCTAAAAATCACAAAATTAGTCCCTTTGCTAATAGTCTAAGTTTACTCTAGAATAGGAATTAGACTAATAGAATAGTAGAGTTGGAAAGAATCTCAGAGATAGCTAATCTAGCCTTTATTTTTTATACACCAAAAAAAACCTTGTCCTACCACTTTTATTTATCACAAGCATGTATACCTGCTAACTGGAGCTTCCGACTAATGAGTGTGGACCAATGAGACATAATTACAGCCCGAAGCAGAGAAATTTGACATTAAAAATTTAAATTTACAGAAAGTGAAATGGACTTTTGTGAACATATCTGTGCACATATATATCTGTCACATAAATGTACACACATGAATGTGCATATGTTTATGCACGCACATACACACGTCAATGCAGACATAGGCATATCTAGAACGTGTATAGATTTATGTAACCATCACCAGAATCACAATCTATACATTTGACAAAGTACGGAGATAGAAGCTGTGTGGCTTTGAAATCCAGGTCTATTTATCCTTCGCTGAGTATTTTCTCCATAATTCCACATCTGCTTTCTTCCTTATAATATTCTCTGGTCCCTTCAAGCTGGCCTATTCTCTATCATTCCATGTGCCTATCTTCATTCTCTATCATTCCATGTGCCGTCCTGGCACCTTTGTTTAGGACAAAACTTCTGCCTAAAATACCCTCTACTCTCAGAAAAAGTAAAAGCAAAGACTTGTCTAAGTCCTACCTACTCTTTCCTCAAGAAATCAGGTTATGTTTCCATGAAGTTTCTGATTACGCTTAATAGTCACTCCCTTTTCCAGACTCTTAAAACATGTATGTATATGAGCTTGCATTTAATTTATCTGTTAATGTATTTATAGTCTCTTTCCAATATACTGCAAATGGAAATTTGTTCTTTTACCTCTTGTTCCCTCAACTTCTTTTTATTTAGTGAAAATTTGTACAATTGAAGATTTCTTTTTTTTTTTGGTAGGGTATTTCCAGGTATTTCTCTCAGTCCTCGAATTGTGGCAATGTTCTCTCTTCTTTCTAACATTATGTAGTTTTAGAGGCTCAATTAGAAGGCTCCTTTTTTGAACTTGGCCATGGTTGCTATGGTTAAAAAAAAAATCACCAGCTAAAGCATGGTATCTTTGTTGGCTATTAGTCATTTTGGGCTCTCCACATCTGAATGCTTTTCCTGTGTTTTGGGAATTCCCTATGTTCTACTTCTGCCTCCTGCCCTTCCACTGTAAAAGCTGAAATCATCAGATCCTAATGTTCCCGTCCTCCTTTGCAGCTAGGACCCACCTTTGAGTCAGGAGCTAAAGGTTCAAAGAAGAAAAGACAGCACAGAATTTGTTCTGGTGGTGTTGGTTGGCAGTCGTGGCATCTGTTTTCTAAAGGTGGCGTTCAGTGATGGCAGAGGCAGCGTTGGAAGCTGTCGTGTCCTGTGTTTAGTTATAACAGTCATGTTGCTTTCACTTACGGAGCTTTTGTAGCATGATTTTGACTGTGGGTCTGGAGGCCTGCTTTTTCGCTGTTGGCAGTAGCTCCTCAGTGCATTTCTTTTCTACTTATAACCAGCCAAGATTGGTTTCTTTTGTCAACAACTAAGAATTTTGCCTGGTATGGCAGCAAGAGAGCCTGGCCTTAGAGCCCTGCAGTGGGTTCTTGTCTTGGCTCTGTCCCAAGCTGTCTGATCTTGGGTGAATCATTTCAATACTTAGATGCATCATTGCTAAAATGGGTATTTTAAAGGTCTTTTCAGCTCTAAAATTCTGTTATTTTTGCTTCTGCTAATTGTCTGGTGGGATGCTAATGGGATCATCATGGGCTGCCAAACCCATCAGTGGGTACCACCAAATTCTGCTCACATTGATTTCAGTATGGTACTGTTCTTTTCTATTCTAGTAATTCCTGGGTTCTTGTGCCTGTATTAACCCTATTGGTTAGCTAGTGTTTACTGGTACTACGCACACTTGCATCTTGACAGGTGTAAAAATGTTCTTTGTTCTCTGTTTAGTGATCTGATTGCAGGGGAAAAATGCTTTAGGCATCAGTAGGTTTCGAGGTTTCTGTGGTAATGTTGATTCAGACGAGAGCTCCTCAGTGTAGAGTTGAAATTCAAAGTCATAAATTGTAAAAATTACATTTTAATGCAGTACCATTGGCTGAGATATTCAAGATTTAAAGAGACCAGCCTTTTAATAGTTTTTTTACAGATGCACAGTGGAACAACTAATGTGAAACAGTTTTTCAGGAAAGCTAACAAATGCATTGTAAGTGCCACATCATTGTAGGGTTATAGTCATTGGCTCTGCAATTGTCTTTAACAAAATGGGAGAAGGGGGAGGAGGCGCTTAGAGGTCATCCACGTTCAAACCTAACTTCAGGTGGAAAGAATCTCTTTGTGGCTTTCTGACCCCCCAGTCTGTGTCCTTTCCAGACACCACATGAAAATAAAATGAGATCAACATTCATTTTGTCTTCTGTCTTACCTTAGTAAGTTCAGATGATTTTTTTCTTATGGTTTCATTTGTCACCCCAGCAAAAACTGAGAATACTTTTTTATGTGGTCATCCTGGTCTTAGAAGCAGCACTGGACGCTGGGTTGCAGTGAGAATGATGGGGCTTTTGTGGGGAGAGCTTTTTTTATTGCATCTTCCAGGGAAAAGGTAGATGGAGTTTTATTAATCAGCCATTCAGATTCTGATTGCACGAACATTTATTGAACGCCAGATGTGTTAGGGACTATCACCTATGTGGCAATGGCAAGTTTTCAATTTAGAGCCCATATTGTGACAATTGCTATGGCATTATTATAAAGCATTAACACTCTACAGCAGTCTTCCCATTAAGCTGGGGAAATGTCTTAAAAATTAACACACATGGGACAATTCTAAAATAGTTAAGGGTCAAACGACGTACCTACTCCAAAAAATGCAGCCGAAGTTTAGATATGAAGAGTCATGTGGGCTGGAGGGCCTGAGGATACCATATGGTGGAGTCCGAACCTGAGGGTTGTGTTTATAAGATTTTGAGAAGACAGCGGGATGGAGGAGCGAGAACTGTTCAGGGAAAGCGGCGTGTCATATTCAAAGAAAGACCAGAAGAGAAGGTGTGTGTAGCTTACACATGTGCATTAGGGAGAAGGAGATTACCTACCAGACTGAGGCTGGGGTTATGGAGTTTTATGGATAAGTGGACCCTGGGGTGGTGCTAGATTAAAGGTTGAAGAGTTTGTACTTGAAATGGCCCATAAAGAGGTATGATACACATTTGTTTCTAGAGCATATTACAAAAGATTGTTTTGTATATCATCCTACATTCTCTTGTTTCCTTCTTTTTTTTCCCCCAGACTCCCTCGAGCCCACTTATCAGCAGCTTCAGAAAATGAAACTGGACAAGAGCCCCTTTGTGGTCGTGTCTGTGGTTGGGCAGGAACTCCTGACGGCTGGCCATCATGGGGCCTCTGTGGTTGTCTTAGAAGCCGCTCTCAAGATTGGCACCTGCAGCCTCAAACTGAGAGGTTCTGTTTTCTCTGCCCTGAGCAGTGCTTACTGGTCTCTTGGAAACACAGAGAAGAGTACCGGATACATGCAGCAGGACTTGGATGTAGCCAAGACCTTAGGTAGGGTTGCTTCTTTCTTTTATTTCAATATAGAAAGGATATAAAGAAAGCTGATTAGCCTGACATGGATAGGAATAACATATGCAACGAAAAGTGAGTGTGTCTCACTAAAACATTCTGTGTTTTAGGGTACTACGGTCTTCAGCGCTTTTCTTATAGGAAGATACCGAGGCTCTCAAAGGGCCAAGATATGTGGGTTAACATATTCATTGCCCTCTTCAGAGATTTGGGCTCACAGATGTAATATCCCAAATGATAGTATTGATGGGTGAATCTTTCATCTTAATTTTAATTTTTGCCTACCTTAGAATGCATCGGCATTTTTGTCAGAGGTAACAATACAGTGCAGTGGTTAAGAGTGTGGCCTGCGGAGCCAGATGGCTGAGTTTAGAACCCTGGTTCTGCCCCTACTAGCCCTATGACCTGCAAGTTGCCTCAACTCTCAGTGCTACCCTTTCCTCATTTGTAACATAAGTGTGGCTTATGATTATGATCGTTGTTACAGTGATTATTCAGTGACTTGCAGCATTGCAGTAAGAGAAGAGATACAATAAATCTATCATCAGCACACTTTTAAAGAAGCAACATATCATAGTGGGTTTAGTTAAGTGACTGAATCAACAAGCTGATGGTTGTTCAGAACCAGAGGTCATTAGCAGAGCATTGAGGTGACTCATAGCAGCTGGTTTGTGTCAAGGTCTTTAACCTCTCATTTCCAGGATACCTGTGTCCCTGAATGTAGTATGTTATAACAACAGTTATTGTCCAGAGCTTTAAGTTCTAGGACCATAACTTACTAGACAGTCTTGTAGAAGAAGAAAATACTTTTCTAAAAGAAGGCAAATGAAATCTTAGCTAGCAAATCTGTGGTTCTTAAATTAAGATGGGCATTATAAATTATAATTAACACTATAACTTAAGAGAAATTTTATCTTTTTTTAAAATCCAACTCAGGTGACCAGACAGGAGAATGCCGAGCTCATGGGAATCTGGGCTCTGCATTCTTCTCCAAAGGAAATTATCGGGAGGCTCTCACTAACCACAGGCATCAGTTGGTGCTCGCCATGAAACTCAAGGATCGAGAGGTAGGAAGTTTACGTGCAGACCAAAAACTTTTTTTTTTTTTGAAACATGGAGTCTTTTTTGCTGTTCAACATGTTTTCGGTACCCTAAAATGTTTCTTTTAGAAGTTGATAGTCATTGCCTCTATCTTTAATCAACAATCAGGTGTTGAATGTCTACCACGTATAGACCTTGGGGCTATAGAATTGAAAGACTTGGTCCCTGACCTCAGGATCTAACAGCTTGCATTGCTCAGCTGCATGGCTCTTATTCTATTCAAATATAAAAGGAGGAGACCCGTGTAAAATTTACAAAAAAACTATATCTTCATGATATATCCATTAAATTAAAGAAGCACACATTTGCTTTGAGTTGGGGTATTATTACTCCAAGCTCTTCATGGTATTTCTTTGGTGGATTTTTAACTCAGGTGGTAGAAGCATATTAAGTCTGATTGAGAGACATGATTTATAATGATAAAGAATATCATCCTATCTTTATTAGAGAAATGGAATGTTAATTCTAAGAGAGTTGATATCCAGTAGATGCAGCATGATGAGAGAGTGCTTGCAAAGTGGAGAGAGGGTGGGGTTTGGAATGAAACAGACCTAGATTGGAATCCCTGGGGATAGAACTTTCTGGCTCTGGGATCTTAGGGAAATTATTACTTAGCTCCTCTTTGCCTCTGTTTTCTTACTTAGAAAATAGTGATTGTATTTATTCCATACATAATTGTGATAGGATTTTAAATAATATATATGTGCCTAGAATGGTACTTGGAACTCCATAAATGGTAGCTTCTAATATAATATTATTAACAAGAAAGAGAAGGGTAATAGAAGCAACAGCAAATTTATGAATCAATCTATGTATTGGGAAATATATTTAGTTACATCTTAGAATTTCACTTTGGGACATTATAGAGATTAATTTTATTATTTAAATGACCTAGCATCTTTAAGTCTCTAGAACATGGTCAGTCACTAGGAAGGAATTGGGGAAGAAAAAAGCCTTTGTTTTAATGGTGTGCTGGAATCTCCCCTTGGGAAGGGGAGAGACTTCCATAAAGTCACTCTCATCCATTGGTGTCAGAAAAAAGCCTTTGAAAGCTGCCAAATATATCATTCAAGGGAGATCAACTTTAGGTGATTTTATTCTCAAGAGAGTTACCTAAATACTTTTCTCTTTGCCTATTTACTCTTAGTTTACAAACAATTCTTATAAGCCAGATGATCTGACTTCCTGATGTTAAGAGAATGAAGAGAGGGATCAAACTCCTAGACACAGATATACTGGTGGCATTAAGTGAGAGCCAGGTTTAAGACCTAAAACAGCCTACTTGTCTAGATAGGGCCATTTAGTGAAGGCTCGGTTGGCTCTAAATATATCAAGAGCTGCATTTATACTCTATTTTCCTGAACTTTGGGGTACATATATATTAGCCCCATTACTGGATGGGGTAGAAAGATTTGTAATTAGGACATAGGATTATCATAGGTATTAAAAAGGAGAAGTGAAAATTTTCTGCCTTCCCTATTCTTAATAGTGTAATTTTCTTTAGCTTGTGGTTTCTAGGTTTTATATACCTTTGCTCTACAATAAGTTATTAAGAAATCATTGATTATAAGGATGGAAGGGACCTTGAGATAGTATTGGAACCAGTTCCCTCCCCAAATCTTCCCCTCTTGGAATTCCCACCTGCCACAGATGCCCTGTCTCCCCCTCTGTTGGCCTCTGCTTAACCACCACTACAGTAGTTCACAAGCCTGCCTATTGGGAAACCCTCCTTATGTATAAGTAAGACTGATTTTACCCCTCTGGGACTAGAGAATGTTCAGCTACCATAATTAATGGCCTGTGGCCTCTCCTTTTCCAAGTTGAAAAATCCCATTAATTTTTTTCCATTAATTTTCTCTTCAAAGTTTCTCATTATCAAAATTTGAGTAATTTTTACAATCCTCTTCTGCCTGTTCCACTTTCACTGTTACCCATCCTGGTAGCCGGTTAGCCATAGGTTGGCCACCACAGAAGCCTTCTCTCGGGGTGTTCTGTCTAGCCCGTGCTCCTGCTCTGTGTTGACATATTTATCTGATTTCTAGACTGACCTGTAGAATTTCTCCTTTCTCTCACTGTGTCTCTTCTGTTGTATTTGCCTCTGGAATCATGGGGTACTATTCATTTTCTTTTTCTTTTCTTTTTTAAAAAATTTTATTTATTTGAGAGAGAGAATGAGATAGAAAGAGAGAGCGTGAGAGGGGGGAGGGTCAGAGGGAGAAGCAGACTCCCTGCTGAGCAGGGAGCCCAATGCAGGACTCCATCCTGGGACTCCAGAATCATGACCTGAGCCGAAGGCAGTCACTTAACCAGCTGAGCCACCCAGGTGGCCTGGTACTATTCATTTTCTTGAGAATTTAATGTTATTTTCTTACCTTTTCTCTTAATTTTTAAGGTTGTATTTGAGTGCTGCTGCTTGTCTATCTGCATTTAGCTGGAAATCTTTATTCCCACATCCCTGAAACCAGCCAGTAGTTGTTAAGACTAGAGTTAATATTGGTCCAGAACTTAAAGGAACATACAAAATGCCCAAGGAGAACTATTGCAATAATATGTATTTCATTCAGTTTCAAAGTTTTAGTTGGCCAGTCTTCTGTGATATAATTCAAGTAAGTGTGACGTCTGCTTGTAAAGCACCTAACATGTGCATAGCACTGTGCTGAGCGTTCTGGGTCTAGGCAGTGGTTGGGGTCACTCCCCTTGAGAGACTTATGTCCTCTTTGAGACGGAACTTTAGTATAACAAAAATATCAAAACAATGCTTGAGCAATAAATAATAAATGTTCTCTTTAACCACTGCCAAGATTCTCAAATTCCAGAAAAGAATGGTATAGACTTGTGGGAGCTTTGTGAAATAGGTGGAACTCAAGTTGGCCCCTGGGTGAGATGTAGGCTTCTAAATTTGGTTAGCATTCATGAGGGATGAGGTAGTTCATAGTATTAGCAAAGATCAGATACTCTTTTCTACCATCCTATTCATTATGGTCACAGACTTAGTTTTTTTTAAAAGGTAATATTTATTAGTTTTATCCAGTTATATAAAAAATTCATGAGAATAACCAACCATAAGTCTACCATCCTTTTAATATTTTGGGTATAATCTTTTGGTCATATATGTACATGATTGTTTAGACCTATCCAAACAAAAATTGAAATCCTATTGTGATACTTTTATAACTTGTTTTTTCATTAATATATTTTCACTTAAGTTTTATACATTTCTATATTTTATTAAATGTTCTACTGAAAGTCTTATGGTTTGATCACAAATTATTTCATCTATACCCCTACTGTAATACATTTAGTTTGCTTCAAAATTTTTGGTATTATAAAATCTGGAAAAACATCTTTGTAAATATATCTTTGAACATATCTCCCATCATTTCCTTTGGCTAAATTATTTAAAGTGGGCTTGCTTGGAAAAAACATATTAAGGCTTCTGATACTTACTGCTAAATAGCTCTCAGAAAGGCTGTATCTGTTTTTAGTCCTACCAGCAATGTATCAGATATTCCATTTCCCTGCACTGGCCAATACTAGGCAATTCTAAATAATTACTAAAATAAACTAAAAAGTCAAATTGATAAGTAAAAAAAAAAAATGATATCTTACTGTTTTACTTTGCATTTCTTTGTTGTCGAGGCTTTTTTTTTTTTTTTTAAGATTTATGAGAGAGAGAGAGAGGCAGGGGAGGGGCAGAGGAAGAGGGAGAGAGAGAATCTCAAGCCGACTCCACACTGAGCACAGAGCCCCATTCAGGGCTTGATCTCATGATCCTGAGATGGTGACCTGAGCTGAAGTCAAGAGTTGGATGCTTAACCAACTGAGCTACCCAGGCACCCTAGGGCTGACTATTTTTTAAAAATGTCTTTTATAAAGAGCTTTAATTCTCATCCTATTTTTTTCTGTTGTGATGTTGGTTATTTTTTTTAATGTGTTTTTTTGTTTGTTTGTTTTGTTTTTGATGTTGGTTATTTTGTATTGATTTGATCCTGGGCCTTGCTATATCAGCCAGTGAGCTGTTGGGACAGTTCGTGCTCTAATGCAAAGTTTTAATTGTCGTTGCTTCATTATGCATTTTACATCTGCTGTAAGTTTCATAACATTCTTTTAAAAAAATGTCTAGGATATCCTTGTCTCCCCTCACTACCCCCAAATGAACTTTAAAATCATTTTGTCAAATTTTGGAAACTCTTGCATTGGTATTTTTGTTGGAATTTGCATATAATTATGGATAAATTGATGTCTTTTCAATAGTCGGTCTCCTATTCAGGAGCCTGATCTGTTCTTGCATTTCACTTTTTATGCCCTTTTGTGATCTACGCTTTTAGGGAGAGTATTGATGGCATATAGGAAGGGTGTTTGTTTTATATGTTTTGCATGTTTTGACCATCTGAAAATTCTCTCATCGCTCATTTTTTGTTGATTCTTACGAATTTTCTTGTAATGGGAATTTTTTTGCAAATAATGATAGTTTTGTGCATTTGTTTCCTTATGTTATACCTCTACTTTTTTTCCTCTTAATTATTACACTGGTTAGAACTTTGAAAACTCTCCCCAAAAGTATCACTCTTCCTCTTGAGTACAAAAAGTTCAGAGAATGTACTTTTTATGATTATCTTATTCTTAACACTGTATCTGTGACCTCAAATTGTATCTTGGTTTCCGTTTTGCATTTTTTTGATATTGAAATAAAATAATAGGAAACTGCCTTTTGAAACAAAAACTAACCACTGTGAATGCTGTGACTGTAAGAATAACAAGCTACATCTTTCTGCATTTTACATTTTTGGCTCTAGTACATTTTAATATTTTCCCAAATAGTGACATAGCAGCCTGGAACCACTTTGTCCACTTACCTTAAAAAACAATAGGTTTTTCTTCTATACAATTACTCTCAGATACTTAATAGGGGAGGTGATACCTTCTCCACAGGAATTTTTCATTCTAACTAACCTATCTGCTTTAA